TGTACTTCTGCCCTGTACCCCAGTTCCATATGCATAAATAAATGAACCTTTTTTAAAAAGTCATCATCTTCTTCCTCCAACCCTCAACCTTTGTTCAGCTCACAGACATACACTCATAGAAACTCACTGTCCAGGAGGTGGTAGCTTTACCTGATGACCTGGTTCATATGGCCTCTTTGTGCTGAAGATGAGGCTGGCATGATTTTGAAGAAGAAGCTTCCTTGATTACTAGGCTGGGGTGATCTTCTAAGGGTCAGGGTTTGTGCCTGTTGCTTGACAGGATGTGAACATCCTTGATTTTTGCAGGGTCAAGTTAAATCAGTTGTCTGAGGTCAAACAATGACACATTCATTGCCAAACCTGTTCTTTTTGCCAAGTCAGTCCTCTTTTATACTTCCTTGCTCAACTCACACAGAATTCTAGAATTTTCAGCCAGGAAGGGAATCTGTGATAGTGGGTTTATGGGTGGGGGGTTGCTCATGGTATAGATCCTTCTAAGCAAAATGAATGGAAATCAGGGGCACAAAACAGTTTGCGCATTTATTTGTGGCTGCCTGTTTCAGCATCCTGTGCTCCAGAGTTCCGCTATTCTTGCAAATCTGTAAATTTCCCTTACTGATCTTGAGCCTGTTACTGTTTTTCCTGAAAATACAGGAATGGGCATGTGTCTGTACTCATGTGTTTAAACATATTGTTTGATATCTAGCTCTCCAAACTTATGCGCCTAGGTTCTCTTTTGTTTTTAAAGATTTATCTATTTATGCATACATAACTGGGATATAGGCCAGAGGTGCATGGGGCGGTGAGAGGATTGACCAGAGACAGAGTGGGGAGCAGAACAGGCAGATCTACTGAGATACACTGCTGAGGGGAGCAGCAGGCGGGTCAGGAGAGACCTACTACGCTATGTGAGTCAGCTCCCTGGCCGGCGATCAAACATGTGGCTGAAGCCTCTGTGGCTAGTTTCATAGTGTTGTGCTTTAACCAGTTGTACCTCTAGGGAGGGGGTGGGGTGGGGTGGGGAGAAGGCCTTTTTTATTTTCCAATTGCTCAAAGCCTAACTGAGTTTCTTATTGTGTCCACCAGCTCCACCACATCACTCACAAATATGAGGGTTCCAGAGCCAAAGGACCATTGCAGCTGGCCACTTTAGTCATGTCCCCTCGGGATCTGGAGCCTCTGGGGTATGTTGGGAGCCCAGAGAAGGAGCAGTAGCTGTCAGGAAGTGCCACATTCTGGGATATTGGTTCTGGCTCATGCTCTAAGTTACTTTGGGATGAAACAGTTTCTCAAGAGGTTTAAAACAAAACCTTGGGCTGTCTCCTAATCCCTGATTTTAGAGGCAAAAGACATGTGTCTAAGTGCTAGCTAGTGGCAGAGATAGGGATTTATTGGGGTCGCAGGCCTCCAGATTGCTCAGGGAAGCCAGGACACTTTGTCTTTGGTTATGCTGAGCTGAAGTTGAAGGAGGAAGCAGAACACACCTGCTGTAGATGGAAGGGACCACTTGCTGCCTGTCCCTTCCTTCCCAACAGGTTACCAGGAAGAAGCAAAGCTTCTCCTGCTCCCAGATCAGAGAACTGCAGTAGGTGCCACGAGGCCTCAAGTTTCCTGTAGATGCATCTCTTCTTTCTCGGAAGCTTTGGCCTTCTCCTCAGCATTCTTAGCCTTCTGTTAGTCAGCTATAAAATACTCTTTGGGGCCCTCTCTGGTGGCAAGGCAGGTTAAAGCGCAGCACTAGGAAGCTAAAACCACTTCAGTGTGAGTTCAATCCCTGCCCCAGAGGTTACCCACATGGCGTGGCAGACCTCTCTTGACCCGCCCAGTGCTCCCCTCAGCAGTGTACTTCCTCAGTCTGCCTATTATTCTCCCCACTCTGTCTCTGGTGAAGCCTCTCACCATCCCGGTGCCTCTGGCAGTTACCCCAGTTCTGTATGCACAAATAAATAAATCTGAAAATAAAAAAATAAAAAGCTCTTTGTCTTCTGCCCAAGGCAGTATACCCAAGAGATGCCTGAGTGTTTCAGAGAGACAGGTAAGGGGAAAAAATTTCTAGAAGGGAAAGAATATTTCTCATAAATGAAAACCTAACAGCTGTTGTCCTGTGGTGCTGACTAGTGACGAGATACGAGAATTAAACCTTCCAGGTATTTACTGTATGAGCCATTTTTCTCAAATTATTTGTGACAGGGCCTAATTTCATCCCCATTTTAAAGAAAGAAAACAGAAACTCAGAGAAAGCTGAAATAACGGCTCGTGATCACACATCTCGGTGGCAGGCTGGACTTCAACCCCAGGAGACCTACTTCAAGCTCAAATTCTTATTTTCATAGACGTCTCAGTTCCCCTGAAGATAGGATTTTAGGTGAGTTTTTCCCAGCCCACCTCCCCAAGGAAAGGATTATGCGACCCGGAACAGGGGGGTGATTTGTCAGAGGCAGAAGTAAAGGGATCAAGATAGAAATGTTGGAAGAACTGTAGGTTTGAGACGTGGCAAAAATGGGAGAGAAACTGCTATTTTTTGCTTTCTCAAGCTGCCTAACTCAAGCTCTTCAGCTGGCCAGGTGTATAACTCAGCCCTACCTTCTCAGGGCTGGAGAAGATCCCTGTCAGCACAGGAGTCACCTCTGTGAGGAATGTGGGGAGTCAGTTAATATGGAGGTGACAAAGAAGGAGTATCTCTGTCTATCATTTATCAGTCGATCTCTGTCTATATGTATAAATATTTTTTCTTAATGTGTGCTCCCTCTGATTGCACCCACCTCAGGGGCCTTATCAGACCTGTCTGTGCCCACCCCCAATCCGTGAGTGCAACTTCAGAGTTCCACAGTGTTCTGAGATGCTCCCTAGCTCCTTTCGCCCCACGCAGCCCTCCCACACAGTGTGAGACTTGATTGAAGGTGTGGTTCAGCTCAGAGAAGCTAGGTTAAGCTTTTTGAAAGGGGTTGCCGCGTGTGCACTTCTGCAGACCTCAAAGCCACCAGAAGTGGAAACTTGGCGTAATGATGACACTCTATGATTTTTTCTGCAGAGAGAGGTGCTTAACTGCGCTGACATGATTCCAAGAAGGTATGTGGATGGGGCACTGACATGTGAATACACACGTTGCTCACCATCCACAGGTGTGGACTTAACCAAGCATGCATGTGTGTGCAAGCACTTCTGAGTTCTGTTCAGTAGAGTCACTTCTGTTATAGGGACCCTGGGCCTGTGTCCCTTCCTGTCAACGGCTGCTGGCCAGTGGGAAAGTAGCTGGAGGAGTTTCTGAGCTGAGGATGCTAAAGGGGAGTGAGGGAGTGTGGAGTAGAAACGAAGACCAAAACTGTCCCTCATAGCCTTGCCTCACTGGCCTCCTCCTGGCCATGGTTCATTTCTTCCACGCACACAGTCTTCATGAAGGATTGCTGTCTGCAACAATAGTCTGGTTAATGATATAAAAGTATGTATTTATTGTGGCCCTGCCTGGTGGTGAAACGGGATTAGGCGAAATGGGTTAAAGCGCAGCACTGCATGCTAGCTGCAGCTGCTTCAGTGTGCAAGGCCCCAGAGGCGACCCACAGGGCGCAGCAGACCTCTCCTCTGTCGTCAGCTGCTCCCCTCAGCAGTGGACTTCATTGATCTGCCTGTTCTGCTCCCCACTCTGTCTCTGGTGAATCTTCTCACCGTCTCTGCACCTCTGATCTGCACTCCAGTTCTGTATGCACAAATAAATAAATCTTAAAGAAAAAATATTAGAAATATGTATGTATTTATTGGCAGAGGCCTGGGTGTTGCCAAATACCCATGAGCAGAAGCCGCACAGTCTGCTGCCAGGCAGAGCTGAAAGCAGGAGCTCTTGGAAAGTCAGGCCCCGTGTCCTACTGGGAGGCGATGCAGCTGCTCCCTTATGCTTCCCTTGGTGCTCTGCGTTCTGCTCTCTTCCAGACCAACCTGACCACGTCTTGTGGTTTGCAGAAGACTGCAGCTATATAGCCCAGGCCCAGGGGCTGTTTGTTCTTAACTTGAGGAACCAACAAATGCTGAATAGGGTTCTGAAGTTTTCAATCTCAATTCCTGGGAAACAGAAACTAATGCAAGCCTAGTTTAGGGGTCTAGCCTGCAACAACGACATCCGGCGGGCCAGGGCCATGCGGTGTCAGGATCAGTCTGGGGAAACATCACTGGCATCTTAAGTCAAATGGCTTGTCCTCCAGAAAGACCCGTCCCTTTGGCAACCCTTTGAAAAGATCCCTCTCTCCGGAGATCCCACAACACTTTATCTGTCCCTCTCTCATGCCACTTAAGTGCTTCTTACCTTGTGTTAATATTGTTTTAGTAAACATCACCCATCCCACCCATTTGTAAAATTTTTGTTTGCCTTCATGTATCTCACACCTTGTGCAAAATACAAAAAAAACAAAATGTGAAAAAAAAAGAATGTGTCATTATAATCCCTTGCACTCAATAAACATTTGAAGTCAGTATAATATCTCCCAAAGTCAATTTTTTGGAAACTTAAGTAACTTGACCAAGTCGTTGATCTTTCTGTGCTATTTTGTGTTATTAAATTCAGTTATTCAACCAATTTGTTAACTCAGTCCGCATGTACTGATTTTCTTCTATACACCAGACACTGTTCTGCACAGAATTTAACACTAAACAAGACAAAGGAAGATCCTTGCCTGTGAAGCGTCCAGCTTAGTGGTAGAGACCATTAATAGGCTGTTGACCATGACTTAGACTTAATACTGGTGCAAAGGCTAGAGATGTTTAAGTGCCAGCACTGTCTCCAAAGCCCAGTTTCCCTGAAAGTTGCAGCTGAATCAGCAGATGTGTTATTGCACTACAGGAAGGAGCTAACAGAGGAGGCCAAGAAGCACTATAAGACCTCAGAGAGAAAATTACCACTTGGGGGGAAAAGGAGTGTGGAAGGGAAGTTTCACTGAGACCAAGTGAGCAGAGCTTCTATACAGTTGCCTGCAAAGATTTCCAGCACTGTGAAAACGCTGCCTTGTCTAGAGTATGGTGACAGAGTTGTGGTGTGACTCGAGCACAAGGAACACAGGAGAAGAAGTGAAGTTGACCAAGGACTTTGCCTGGCCTTGTGTGCTATGTGCAGGAGCTCTGAGGCAGAATCATCAGCCAGCTGGCACTTGGAGGGCAGTGATGTTGGCTCCTTCAGGCACTGGCCAGGCAAAACCTGGAAATCAGCAGTAGCACCCGGCTAGGAACATATTCTAGAAGACCCCAGCGTGAGTCATTGCTGGCTCTGTGGTTGTTGACTTTTTGGCTCAGAGGTCAAATGGTGAGATGAAATTTTCACTCCCAAGTTGCAACCTTCCTCAGAGAGCACTTGATATTCCAGCTTTCACTCTCTATTCAACTTTCACTGAGTTTGAGTAGCGTGGGATTTCTAAATTTTGCAATTTAATTTAAGACATCAAAAGTCCCTTTGTAGTTAGGAAAAAAGAAGAATGAGGTGGCCACACCCACATGTCTGTTGAATTACAATCCTCCAGCTATCCTTCCTTAGCCAATGATAGGATGAGAGACAGAGGTCAAGGGTTTCTAGAAACTGCTTCTGTCCTGGGATGTACTTCAGGGGCCACAGGTTACATTGTTCCTGGACAGGAGTGCAATGGAACTAATTTTTAGGGTCCTTCCTCTGATCAAAGTCAATACTCTTCACACTCTGCTATCCCCTTACCTTTCCACCTCTGTCTCTACCTCCTCCCTACCCCAGATTAGCCACTAGCTTTGCTGGCCCGCTTGCCTTATTTATTTTTATTTAAAGAATATTTTATTTATTTATGCATACAAAAATGGAGTACAGGTCAGAGGTGCAGAGGCAGGGAGAGGATGCACCACAAACAGAGTGGGGAGCAAACAGGCAGATCGATGAAGTACACTGCTGAGGGGAGCAGTGGGCAGGTCAGGAGAGGTCTGCTGCACAGTGGGTCACCTCCTGGACTGGGGCTCAAACTCGCACTGAAGTGTCCACAGCTTGGCTTGGTTTCACAGTGCAGGGCTTCAACCTACTGCAACACCAGGGAGTTCCCCCTCTTGCCTTATTTAGATGTTCTGGTCTCCAGGACAGTCTTAGATAACCCTTTCCCTTGTCTCTGCTGTCAAATACCACTCACCCTCCAGCTCAAACCCAAAGGACCTTGTCTCTGTGGAGTTTTCCCAAACCCATTTGACCCAAGAGCTCCCTCTTCTGTACTCTCCAGCTTCTGCTGCTATTCTCACCTCACTGTGGTATAGTTCTTTATTCTTAGGTTAAGTAGACTCAGTTTGTGAAGCTGAGGAGCTAGATCTCAGTTATTTCTATCCCTAGCAATATTGCCCAACATACAATAGTTTATCATACATTAAATATGTTCTCTAATGAGCATGTAATGTGGATTCTATTCATTAGTGAGGGGGGTTTTACTCGGCATTTTGTGTGTTGGGTTTGGGTAGAAGACAGCTTTTGGAAAGAATTCCCAAGTAGAAAATGGGAGAAGAGCATTCCAGGTGAGCAGAGTGAACAAAGACACCATGATGGGAGAACATGAGCAAACATGGGAGCCTAAAGAGAAAGAAAGAGGAAGGAAGAGCAGTACTACATGTCAGGCTTGCTGCTGGCCTCCTCTGGTGCACTAGGCCTTCATGGAAACTTGGTGAAGTACTTTTATCCCCAGAGGAGTCATCTGAGGCCAGAAATGTCTGAGGTCATGAATTGGTGATGGAGATGAAATTGGACCAGTTCTGCTGGACTCAAAGCCCATGACTCATTGGTCTCAGAGAATTTAATTCAGATTAATTGTGTGATTTCATAAGGAATTCTGGTTGACCTGAATCTAAGTATTTTTTCTTTAAGATTTATATTTTTATGCATACAGAACTGGGGTACAAGCCAGAGGTGCAGGGGTGGTAAGAGGATTCACCAGAGACAGAGTGGGGAGCAGAACAAGTTGACTGACCAAGTATACTGCTGAGGGGAGCAGCGGGTGGGTCAGGAGAGGTCTGCTGTGCCATGTGGGTCACTTCCAAGGAAGGAAATAAAAAAGGCACTAAAGCAACTGCAACTCAAATGCAGTGCTGCGTCCTTTCCCATTGCCCCACTAGGGAGGGCCCTGAATCCAAGTTTTAAGTGAAGATGAGTAAGAGGGAAGCACTGACAGGTGAACCTTATAGAGCTATAATACAAATAATTCGGAGTACGTTTTGGCTGTCCTATTAGCAGTCCTATTAGATGATCACCTCCATTTCACAGATAAAGAAACAAAAATCTCAGAGTTGTTAATATGCCCAAGGCCACACGCAATCAA